CCTATGCAACAATTTTGCATGTTCTTCACATGTACCCCAAAACCTAAAATGCAATAAAATAAATAAATGGGAAAAAAATTAATATAATAATAATAGTTATATTTGGTCTACCACTTTAAAATTTATCTTTTACCAACATATTTTTGTTTCTCTGTTTTCCTTTATTGTCTTCTTTTTAGTCAATTAGATATTTGTTAGCATTTAATATTAACATCTATTAGCCTTCTGGTATATCTATTATATTTTAGAGGTGCCGCTAGTGATTGCAATATGTATCTTTAAGTTTTTAAGGTTTCCATATATTTCATATTCTACCACTTTGCAAAAAATATAAGAACATTGTGCTTGGATATGTTCTCTATACCTCTATCTTCTATTTTATAGTTTTCATATGTATTATATCTAAATATGTTCAAAACTCCATATTAAAATGTTATAACTTTTGTTTTAATAAGTTATATGTCTAAGTAATTAAAAGGAAACATATTCCGTTAGTTTCCTGACATCTTCAGAATTTTCTATGTTTTCTGTTCATACCTAAAAGTCTGATTTAGATCTGGAATAATTACTCTTCAGCCAGAAAAACTTTCTGTAGCAGTTATTCTCAGGTATTTAGAGGGGTGACAGATTTTCTTAGTATTTAGTTTTTATTTTCTGAATATGTCTTCACTTCACTTCCATTATTAAAGGATATTTTTGCTGGGTATAGAATCAGATTTCCAGTTAATAGTTTTATTTATTGTTGAGCCCATTAAAAAAATCTCCTTCCACTGCCTTTCCATCTTCATTCTTTCCAAAGTGTAGTCATAACTGATTCACATTTTTCATGGCCTATTTCCAACACACCATTTTTCTCAAGTTTTTTTTTAGGTTTTCTTTTTATGTCAGTTTTTAGATGTCTGAACATGATTTATTTTCTGTTTATTGTCTCTTCTTCGAGTTGTCTGAATTTCTTAACTCTACACATATATAAATTTTCTTAAAATTAAGATTTTGGTTGTTTTATGTATTTTAGACTTTTTCACACTTTAACAGAGATTATTGCAGATCTATTCATTTTTAAAAATATTTTTTTCTCTATGTTTCTAATTGGATATTTCTTCTTTTATTTGTAATCTGACATTATTCTATCTAGGTTCTGTGTTTTTTTAGATACTGTAATTTTAATCTGAGCATGTCTGCTTTTAAAAGTCTCTACCTCCTTAAAATTGCCTATAAGTTTATTCATTAAGAGTATTTTCCCATAAATCTGATATAGT